GCTCTTGCAACTCTCTCGTGTTGTTTGTTCACAAGTATTAAGACCAACAACTCTAGTACGCAGTAACACGAAAACATCGTATGGGTACGGAATGAGGCGAGATTGCTACAGCATGTACAGTGAGCATAACACTACAGTCGTGATGCCGCCTACACGCAGCACGCTTCGCCTCGTGTGATACGAGACTAGATGCTGCACTTCAAAAGACGACTACCGCACAAATTGTGGGGACCTTAACAAACGCGCCTAATCCTGGTAGGAACGTTTACGTGGTGTACCAGCATCCCAGGGGATTAATTCGTACATTCTGGCCAACCCATTGGCTATATATCAAGCCATTTTGACCAATGAAACGCAGTTTTATTGGTCTCAGCCAATCATATCGCGCCAAATGCGTCCTGTTAAGTGCGATTTAGGAGTTCCTGTTAAGTGCTGTCACATCGCCGGACTTTATACTCGATTAAAGTATAACAATTTCGATAAAGTACGACGGCGTACTTGACTGAAATTCACGCAACTCTCCGATTAGGTGCGAATGTGAAAGCGCGCGCCGTCGTCGTAAATACCGGGAAACAACGCTTCGCATTCAAAAGTTCCTACCAGTTCACCCCGCACGGGACCTGTTAAAAGCGAAGAAGAGAAGAAGAGAAGATCGACTATCAAAAGACGTCCTATCGTCTCAAAAATGACACTAACGGTCGACGTCATAACTGGGCCCCTCGAGTCACTCGAGTCAGCAAGCGCCAAATATCGATCTCGTCCAAATGGCTCTGCCTGTCATCTACACCTCCAATATACACTGTCGAGTCGCTCTGGAGTCTCTAGTCGTCGTGAAAGCACTCCAAATGTTTTATTTCTTGCAATAGAGCTTGCCATATCTCCAATTTCGTACAACTAAGCTTGAGATCTGGCCTGTCATGGGGATGGAAACCACACGTTCTCGGTCTTGGTGTTGGTCTTGGCCCAGGTCATGGTGATATTGTAGACCAATCCGAGCTTTGGGATGGAATAGCGGCCATTTTCATCATTATGATGGAACAACTGCTCGCATGAGCTTCGGCTTCCTCGAGACCCCCCACCCAGTCGACGTCAAGCCGAGCTGGATCGTGGCCGGTGCCATCGAGCAACTCGCCGGGTGGCGGGACACCACCACTGATGCAAGGCTGCCATCCCCAACGGCAAGACGACAATCGTTTCCGAGCTGCGCTGGGCATTTGCTCTCAAGAAAGGTCAACGCCCAGCAAACCATACGTGCGCAATACGACGGCTGCTTCATATAGACTACCGTCGTACCATTTCTGCTTCTCATGCCCATCGGGAACTGTGTAGCTTGTATATATGCGCAGACACGACAGTGCGGCGATACCATCGGCTTTGATTTGCGCCGAAACGACGCTCGCATCCAGAGATCGCTGTTCAGTATATTGACGCTTTCGATCTTATGACGTTGCGCTTACAAGTCCTTCTTCTCGGCGGGGTCCGTGCGCTCCGTCGTGAGGACGAGGTGCCAGCCAAACTGCGTCTTGACCTTGTGGATCTTGCCCACGTCGTCCTCAAACACCACGCGGTCGAACTCGGGGACCATCTGACCGCGGCCAAACGAGCCAAGGGCGCCGCCACCACGCGCGCCGCTCGGGCACTTGCTGTGCTTCTTGGCGAGGTCCGCAAAGAGCTTGAGCTGCTCGGGCGAGCCGTCGGCCGTCGCGCTGAGCTGCGTGAAGAGGTCGTCGATCTCGGCCTCCGTGTTGACGAGGATGTGGCTGGCCTTGGCCGAGACGCCACCGCCGCCACCGCCGCCCCACGACGACACCATGCCAAAGAGCGTCAAGACGACGAGGATGCTCAAGACGACCCACTTCAGGTTACCGGCCATTTCTTCCCAGACTTGCCACGGGCTCATGGATTGCAGAATGAGCGGCTTCGGAAAGGCAACGTGGCAGACCTCTTGAAACGCGATAGTATCGATTCTCACAGGTTGAATCTCGAACCCGAGAAATCACCGTCATTTCTAGAATTGACGCTACAATTGTCCGAAATTTGTCCTCCGCATCGACACGGATCCCGCTGCGACCAGGAAATGACATCGATACCGCCGTACTAGTACTATGGACTCGCATATATCTAGTCAAACAAAAGAGCATTGCACCTGCTGGACATAGGTATTGATTGGGACGACTTTAGAGACACAACGTGGTCGCCTGAGATCCGCAACGCTTCAGTCTCGACTTCCACCTTGGAACC